CCCCTTTTTTTTTTGCCAGAAATCCTTTCAATTAAATGGAGGTTTCTTTGGAATAATTAAACCCTCCATCTCAAGCCTCTTACTCCAATCATCCAGGCAAATCAGTTAAGCAGAGATGCATTTATCTGACTGATTGCTGACCCCCTTCTGGTTCCAGAGCTTTTGCCCCGGGGGTAGCTCTTGGAGAGAGGAGGTGTCTGCCCACAAACACGGCTCTTTTCCAAAGGGATTTGAAATAATAGTAGCCTTATTGTTTATTTTATTCAGGATTTGATTTTTATTCATTCACCCAACAAATACATATTGAGCAGCTACTAAGAGTAAGTCCCCATGCTAGGTTCTGTGGGAGATGAGACAGACATGTGGCAGGTAGCTGAGCCTCCCTGAACTTCTCTTCTGTAAAATGGGGATAGTGGTACGCACCTTATAGCGCTGTTGTATGAAAGGAGCTAATCCACATGGAGCGTTTAGCACAGTGTCTGCCCATAGCACTACCATGTACGTTTCCATGGACACCTATTAGAGGATATACTCCTGCAGAATGAGGGAATAAAGCCGTAAAGAGAAAGATATAGAGCCCAGAGAGCAAGGAATCTAATTGCTTAGATTAGATGCTATGCTTAATAAATATTAGTTGTGATGATTGCTAGTTTAAGTAAGATCACATGAGTCGGAGTCAATGAGGGCTGAGTTGGAATCTCTGCCGCTTAGTGAAGCTGTGAGATCTCACCCCATTATTTAACTTTCTGATCCTACCTCCTCCTCATAAAGTGAGAATAATAAGACCTAGAATAATGGAACCTACCTGAGTTCCTGGGAAGTGAGGTGACATCTGTGAAGTGCTCAGCACCCAGGCAGCACTTCTGGTTTATGACGAGGCGAGCTGTCTGACAAGCACTACAAAAGGTAGACAATGTTAAGTGCACAGAGAATGGATTCTTTATACTTAAATGTATCGTCCGTATTTCCAACTATTGACATATGTTAATTTGTGTTCATTTTTTTGCCAGGATAATACATGTATGGAGAGTTGAAATGTAAAGTAGGCTTGTAATAAAAACATCTGTTCCCAGCCCTGATCCCCAGAGGCAACTACTTCTAACTCTTCACTGTTGTTTTCTTCTGTTATTTACCCCATTTCTAAGTAATAGGTTTGCATTGCTATTTACAGATATATCCACTTTAAGGCATTATTTACTGACATACTCTTAGGTAGAGGAGCATTTAGCCCTCTTTTCTGAGTACCCCACTCCATGCATCTCCCCTTCCTTCATTGTCTCCATGCATTTAGATCACAGTTGTATATGTTACATTATTATCACTAGGTAAATATTGTTTATGTTGAGGCAAGTTGTATGCTGTAATTATTTCCTTTCTTACCTTTTTGTTTTCTCCTGGAGTTAATATTGCCTCTTTTTTCCATTTGTTGAGGGTTTTTTTATGTGCCTATCCTTCACTATTTTTCCATCTGACTCACAGTCCTGTCATTTGCCCGACAATATTATTTCCTAAATTATGAAATATATCAGATGACCATTCCATTTTCCCCCTGGCCACCTCCCTCTACTGGGCCCTCCGTGATCCTGCCATAATCTTGGCCAGCTCCTTTTTGCCACCTCTCTCTCATCCTGGGATTTCCTTGCTGCTTTGTCCAATTAGATTTTCTGTTTCCTGAGCTCTATACCTTCCTCTTTACTGTTTTATTCCCTCATTTTACTCGAGCATATCCTCTAGTAGCTTCCTAAGAAAGGGTACATGGGAAATAAATGTTTAGAGTCAGGACGCCTGGGTGGTTCAGTTGGTTAAGCTTCTGCCTTAGACTCAGGTCATGGTCCCAGTGTCCTGGGATGGAGCCCCGCATCGGGCTTCTTCCTCAGCAGGGGGCCTGCTTCTCCCTCTGCCTGCCGCTCCCCCTGCTTGTTCTTTCTCTCTCTCTTTTTCTCTCTCTGACAAATAAATCAAATCTTTAAAATAAATAAATATTTTGAGTCTCTACCTTTCTGAAAATAATATTTTATTTTCATGCCTAATAATTGGGGGAGGGGTGTAATAGAATTCTAGGTGAAAAAGTATTTTCCATCAAAAATGTGAAGGCATCACTTCATTGTCTCCCAGCTTCCAGTATTGCTATTGAAATGTCTGATGCCAAACTTACTCCTAGTCCTTTACATATGACCTGATGTGTCCTCTCTGGAAGCTTTTAGGGTCTTCTCTTATTTCCTGATGGCCTAAAATTTCACAAGGATGTTCTGAGAAGGTTATTTTTCCACTGATTGTACTGAGCACCCGAAGGGCCATTTAAATCTGAAGACTAATGTGCTTACATCTGGAGAATCCTCTAATATTATTTCTCTGATAAGTTCATCCCTAACTTTACATTCTGACTCCAAAAGCTAGACAAGAAAGGAAACATAACCTCTGCACTCTCTTTGCAGGATTTCTATTTATTGGATATTAGACCTAAATTAACCTCATTTCCCCCACCATTTCTTATCTTTCTTCTCTTTAACTTTTTATTAACTTTTTGGAAGATTTCCTCAACTTTTTCTTCCAAACTTTCTATTGGTAAATTTCTGGTACTTTATTTTAATTGCTAAGAACTCTTTCTCGTTCTTTGATCATTCCTTTTTCATAGCATCCTACTGTTGTTTTATAGATGCAATATCTTATTTAATTTCAGTGGATTTTAATTATCAGGTTGTGGGGTTGTTGTTTTTTTTAATTTTTTCTTATTCTGCATTGTCTGCTTCCTGCAAGTTCTTTGTATCAACTTGTCTCTTTTGATCTCTTCCTTTCACATGAAGACTTTCTTCAAACATCAGGTGATTCTTGGCTCTCTGTTTATTCTTTTTTTTTTTTTTTTAAAGATTTTATTTATTTATTTGAGACAGAGAGAGCACACGAGAGGGGGGAGGGTCAGAGGGAGAAGCAGGCTCCCTGCCGAGCAGGGAGCCCGATGCGGGACTCGATCCAGGGACTCCAGGATCATGACCTGAGCCGAAGGCAGTCGCTTAACCAACTGAGCCACCCAGGCGCCCCCTCTCTGTTTATTCTTAAGTAGGAAGTGACAAAAGCAGTGCGTACAAGTTCTGCTCGTTGATTAAACACTTTCACCGTAGGGCGAATGGGCACCGACTGTGTTTGCACAACACACTTATAACTCACTAAGCAGTTGATTCCTCTATCGAGAAGCAATAGTTGTTCTTTTTAATCCTGAGCCAATAGGTGCCATCTTAGAAAGTGGTTTTAGTTCTGTCTTAAGTTTTGCGTGTAAAAGTGCTATTTCAGGGAGTGTACGTACATACACTTTCTGATTCTAGTCCTTCTAAAAGTAAACTTTTATTTTTTAAAAGGTGATTCTAGGGGCTGTATGGTAGTAAAAGTAAGTCAGAGAACCTTGGGTCCAAATCCTGCCTTCCATGCTAATTATATGACCTTGAACCTCTCCCGGGTTTGGTTTTCTTGGCTGTAAAACGGTGATGATGATAGCAATAATAATAATAATACCACCTATCTCAAGAGAGTTTTTGAGTTTATCAATTATGCTTAGCAAGTGCCTGGCACATAGTAAATAATCTATAAGCATCAGGGATAATGTTTCAGCCAGTTGGATGTTATACCAATAAGCTAATCTCTCGAGAGACATATCCTATAAGTTTTTCCAACCTTATGACCAAGTTCTTGAGGGTATAATCAGAATTCTAACAGCAGAAATAGAAAGTTCAGCCTCATTACTGGTTGTCTTGTGTCTCAGTTTTTCCAACCTCTGTTGACACATTGGGTAGTTGTACAACCCTGTGAAAATCTGTTTTTCCTTTCTTGTAACTAAAATCTTTCTTACAATTAATTTTGTAAAAAGCCTTTTCTTCTGATTATGAAAGAAATGCATGTTCTGTTGCTTTTAAATGCAAATGCAGAAAAGTATAATTTCCCTTTGCCTCTGCTCATCAGCCTGCTGGTCTCTGCTGGGGCACTTGGCCCCGCAGATCGCCGGCTTCCCCAGCCCTCGCGCGCAGTGCTGGGCAGCAGTGTAGCTCCTCCTGTCCCAGCCGCAGAGCAGGGAGGCCGTGAGAAGACAAAGGAGATGGTGTCCTCCAGAGAAGCATGTCACTGCCACCTCCCCGGGGCAGAGGGCCTGTGACAGCTCACTCCGATCCAAGCTGACACCCGACAAGAGCAGCTTCTACCAGCCCTGGGAGCTCTGGTGTCACCTGTGATTAATTCTCAGAGCTGAAACCAAGCGAGTTCCTGATTAAACAGTGATGTCCCAGGGTCCCTGTCACTGCCGAGGAAGAGCGGCAGGCCATGGAGCGGCTGCCTGAAGCCCCCACCAAAGGGATCCCAGCCGCTGTCGGGCGGGACAGGTGTCAGGCCCGGTGTCCGGCCCCACCTCACCGTCGCAGGGGTTGTTCCTCGCCTTTCCGCCTCCCCGGTCTTCCTTCCCCGGGCTCCTGGAGTGGCTGAGCTGGGCACTGACAACGGCCTCGTCCCTCACCGTGAGGAGCACCACCTTGGGGAAATCACAGTGCGTGCCATGGTGTGTTCCTGCCCAAACCCACGGCGTGCCGGGGGCTGAAGACGTAATTCACAGTGAAAGGAACCCTTCTGGGCTCAGGAATGCGGTTTGCCGCCTTTGACCTAATGAATTAGTAGCTGATTAGAACGTCTCCACTCTGCAAACACTCCTATCAGCGACTTTGTGAAGACCTTCCACCCTGGTCAGGACTAACCCCAAGGCTACCATCTGCCCTCCTCCCCGGTCCCAGAGGTCTCAGGACCTGTGGCCAGTGGCCTTACAGACTGGCCATGGGCTGCGACAAAAACCCTTCTCCCCAGCAGCTCCTGGCCACGGTCCGCTGCGTCACTGTCACCGGGAGAGATGGGCACCCCAGGATTTTCTGACCTTTCCTTCCAAAGCAGGGCATCACTTTGATACTTGAGTGGTTCTCTCTCTCCAAACTCCGTCCTTGTGCCAAGTCAGATTATCTTTCCATTTACAGATTCCGGCCATCGCAGCTCTAGATCCCGAGGAAGACTGGCTCGGGGCAGGCCAGGCAGCGGCCTGGAGGCGCAGGAGTCAGAGCTCCATCACGGGACAGCAGCCGCTGTCTACTGAGCAACGATTGTATGCCAGGTACTTTGCTTGTGTTATTGCAGTAGATTAAAAAACAAAACAAAAACGCTAAGTGAGGCTTACCTAAGACTTGACAGGGGCACGGTGGGGGAGGTTCTAGGCAGAGGGAGGTGCGGGAGCAGGTTTGGTGAAGAGCCCAGGACACAGGACGAGACTCCGGCAGCCAGCAGGAGCAAACCCGGCAGGGCCGAGGGGTCACGATAAAGATGCTGAACTTCACTGTAACAGCAATGGGGGGCCACACGGTAAACATTTCGAATCAGTGAGGGAGGCGAGGGAGACCAGCCACTGCCACGGAGCTTGCCCACGGGCAAGTCATCTCCCTGTCTTGTAAAAAGCTGAGCAAAATGGCCCTTCCTGTAGAACCTGACCCAGCAGCCTTGAGCTTGCTTTTCCCGCTGTTTGTAAAAAGGCCCATGGGGTCGAGGCTTCGACTCGGGACGGACACCAGCCCCGGCTGAGGGTGGGCCAGAGCCGCCTCCAGCGCTGACCCTGGTGGAGGGGAGGGAGGGCCATCCGGCACCGCAGGCTGTCAGCGTCTCGGCGTCTGAGGGCGCGATTCTGGGCAGACCGTTTTCAAGGGAGCTGCCGGAGCTGGACACCAGCTGCCGGATTCCTCCCAGAAGACCAGGCGGAGTCAGGCGGAGTCACAGCCAAGTGTGCGGGGAGGAATTGCATCTGAAATTGTGTCCGAAATGGTTTTTTTCTTCAAGGCTAGCTACACTAGCCGTAGTTTTTGCCCAAGAAACACTTGGTGCGTTTATGGCTGTGTGTGTCTGAGACAGTAACACAGCGTCCCCAGCTAAGCCGCACCCCAGATCCCAGTATCACCGGCGTCTCCGGGGGACAGTGATACGGTGCTGACCTCCCACGGGAGCCGCCGTTCTCCTTCTTACCCGTTCCTCGCTCCTCGGTGTGGTTTTGCTGTCTCTCCTTAACAGCATAGTTCAGTCGTCCGTCTTAGAGACGTAGCCAGACAGTGTCATCTCGTGGGTGCTCTGTGCCCCGCGTCACGTCCCGAGGTTCATCGGCGAGGACCGCCGTAGCACGCGGCGTCCCTGAAGGCCCACGGCGCTTATCCGCTCTCCTGCCTCGGACATCGGCGTGCTTCCTCGGGCTTGGACGCACGGCCACCCTTTCACGAGCCTCCTGACCTACAGGGTGGTCTCTCCGGGGAGCACACCGAGGAGGGAAGCCTGGGCGTGTGCCCTGCGTGTCCAAGCCTACCAGGTCAGGTCAACTTGTTCTCCGATCCCAAGGTTTACGTCAGCCACGGTGGGATGCCGGGGGGTGAGTCGCTGCTCACCTCGGTCTTTGGCCCTCGAGTGGGAACAGGTGGGCTGGGTCGTGGTTCCTAATCCGAGGGGACACCGTTCAGCCCAGATGACGTGTCTGTAGAACAGGGAGGATCCCGCCCCCCAGGTTGCTGTGATCATGACAGTGGGGGACAGGTGCGCACCTGGCACACGGTAACAGCCTAGCCTGGGGGTGCTTCTGCCCCTTCTCTTCTGCGGCCCTCCTCACGCCCCCCTGCAGCTGTTGGTGCCACAGCCGACTCCCACCAGCCCACTGTGGCTGCCTCCCAAGGGCAGGGGCCATGTGGGAAACGCCTCGGCGTCCCTGCTCCCGGGGCCAGTGCTTGGTGCTCGCAGGCTGGTGGTGGAGGCCACGGCGTCCTCTTAGGCCACCCCGTGGCTCGGGAGGCTCACCAGACTAGGCAGTTCTCACGAGTTTGCCTCGACCCGTGTTTGCAAAGTGGCTGAAGTGCACCAGGGTATCAGTGAGGGCCACTAGATGGAGGCTCTGTTGTTTGCTTGCATATAAGGTGGGAGGGTCCCCTTCCTTTCGTTTGGGGGAAAAAGGTTTGGCTCTAGTCATGTCCTGCTTTGTTTTTATTTTCCTTTTTCCCCAGCAGAGGCCACTGGCAGGCCACCCCGGGGCCCTGGAGGAGGCGTTTCTGTTCCACTGGGCATGCCCAGCACAGCCACCTCGGTCCGTGAAGGGCGGCCAGAAATGCTTCTCTGCTCCATCCAGACCTGCTTGTCTCCCTGCCTTGAGCTGACATTTAATTAATTTCTGGGCACATGCCTTTGACCCCATAACCAGCGTCAGCCTGTGAGCACCTGGTTCTCTGTTCACTGTGCTTAGCTAGTCTTTGTATTAAGTAGATACATTAACTAGTCAGGAGGCTTTGGGTGCATATAATAGTGGATCCCGTTTAAAATGGCTCAGGGCAAAGGCATTTACTATCTTGCTTCCGAAGGAGCCCAGTGGTGGGGGGGCGGGGTGGGGAGATGTCTGGCGTTGGTGAATTCAGTGCCCAGGAGGGGACGTCGGGGACCCAGGTTCTTTCCATCTTTCTGCTCTGCCGTCTTGAGGATGTTAGCTCTTGTTCTCACGTGAGTCCTCAGGTCACAGGATGGCCGTACAACTCCCAGCATCACGCACACCTTCACCTGCTAACATCCAAAAGCTGGATGACAGTGTTCCTTCCTGTGTCCCTGTCAAAGATCAAGAAAAAACACCAGAACTGCCCACCCCCCACAGCAGGATTTCCCATAGGTTGTATGTGTCATAAAGCACTTCACGTGCTTCTTCTCAAACCTCTGGTAGAGACCAAACAAGATCTCGCTCCTTGCAGCTCAGAAGGCGCCCGGCCTCCCTGAAGCGTGGGGTAGCTCAGTTCCTGAAAAACCTGAGGATTCTGTAAGCAGGGGGCGTGGGGGGCTGACATGGACCAACACAGTGGTGGCTGCCACACTCTCAGTAAATGTGTTGAATCGAGTGCTTAGGATACTGAGTCTTCAAGAATAGTCTAGGAAAGTACGTTCTGCTTTGTGAGTAGAAATGGTCATAGTGACTCCGTGTCGGGGGGAGTGGCTGCAGTGGGCGTGTTCATATCACCCCAGCACAGGCTTGCCGCGGGGCCCCGGTGGCCATCCTGTCTCAGCGAGAGGGCTGGCAGGGGTCAGGACTTGTGTCTGTGAGGCAGGGCTATCTGTGTGCTCTTCCCCGCCCGGGAGAGGGACTGGGTTTCAGTTTCTAGCACTCCAAATCAGTTATTGCTCATGACAGCAAACAGGTGTGGTCGTTCGTGTCCTTCAGGTTGAGTGAAGCGAACGCCCACTGCAAGTAGCTCAGATTAATGGGGGGACTCTCAGAGACCCCACGGCAAGGACCATGCAGCATGCATGGCCACCGCTTATGGGGCCGGGACTGGAGAGGGACCGCTCCCGCTGCTTCTTCTGGACCCACAGGGCTTCTCACTGAGGCTTCGCTCAGCAGACGGGCTTCCTCTGCCTACCTCCACCTTCTCTACCTCGGCAGCCTCCCCTGCCCTCGCCTAGGCTCCACTGTGACCCAGCTCTGCTCACCCCAATGCCTCCTCTAGCTCGGTACCCCCCAGCACACTCACCGTCCCGCCGTCTCTTCGGCCCCACGCGAAACCCCCAGCCCGTGGACCAGTTCTCCGTGAGGCAGGTCCGTCGGCCGGCCAGAGGGTTTCCTTGGTGCAAACAAGCTGTTGGGGCTGTGGTCTTCCCAGAAGATGTGAGTCAGGGGCAAATATTGGATATTGGCCTGTCTATTGCACTGTACTTGGCTTTCACCTTCGTTCATTTGTCTCTTTTTTTCTTCCAAACTGTACAAGTCGTGCATTGCTACGTGCTTGTTGTAAATACTAAAACGGTATCATGTCCAAGTCCTCCTTGACCACTAACCTCTGAACTTTATTCCTCTTCCAAGATGTAACCATTGCATCCGGTTCTCTGGAAGCTTCCCCGGCCCTTCCTCTCTCTCTTCCCTCTCTGCACACACACACACACACCTGTATAATTATAGTCTTGCTTAGCGGTGCGTTACGTATGTGGTTTTATGCTGCATGTGACGTCTTCTTCCTGATACCAAATATGTGTCATTTTCCACACACCAGCCAATTCTCCGACACCGACTAGGTGTCCAGCAACTCGACTCAATCCCAACACTAACCCTCCAGAGTCAGCAAAGACCCCCACAAGCCTACTCCCACTTCAGATGACAGCTTCAAGTCCCAGGGGCCACCCATACTCCCCCCCCTCCTCCGAGCAGCTACAAATCCAGGGTTCCCACAACCCCTCGTCAGGTTCAGTAATTTGCTAAAATGACTCATACACCCCAAGAAGACACGATACTAATTACAGTTTAAGGGATGCAAATGAGCAGCCAGATGAGGAGGCATGGAGGGCGGGGTCTAGAAGGGTCCTGAGTGTGGGAGCCTCTGTCCCCATGGAGTTGAGGTATGCCACCCTCCCAGAGGGGGCATTTATTCACCAGCTCTGAAGTTCCTTGAACTTGGTTGTTGAAGGAGTTTTATCAAGGTTTCATTATATAGCCATGATTGATTAGGTCATTCACTCTTGATGACTGAATTCAATTTCCAGCTTCTCTCCCCTCCCTGGAGGTAGGGGTGTGGGGCTGAAAGTCATAACCCTCTAACCACTTGGTCTTTCTGGCAGCCGGCCCCCACTGGAAGCTATCTCTGGGCCCTTAAGCCTAGAGTCATCTCATTACCATGCAAAAGACACTCATCACTCAGAAGATTCCAGAGGCCTTAGGAGCTCTGTGTCAGGAACCAGGACCAAGACCATTTTTTTTTTTTTTTTTGGTATTATACTTCATATATGTATTCTGAAATTTGACTTTTTTTAAAACAATATGTCTTGGGATGTTTTTATGTTACCACATCCCTTTCAAAGTTTAGTCCATAGTACAAAAGGATTTTGGAGTACTGACTGATGAGTATATCACTTGCTTCCATTGTTTCCTACTGCAAACAGCGCCAAGTGTCCACACAAAGCACCAAAATTAAATATTCATCAGTAGAGAAATGGGTAAATAAATTATGGTATATTCTTGCAATGGAATAATACATAAAATAGTCAAATTGAACAATTAACTGAATAGTCGCAGACTTTAATGCCCTACTTTTAATAATGGATAGAACCACTAGCCAGAAGATCGACAAGGAGACAGAGGACTTGAACAACCCTATAAACTAACGAAATCTAACAGACATCCATAGCATGCTCCCCCAACAGCGGCAGGACATGCTCTTCTTAAGCACACACCTGGAACATTCTCCAAGATCAGTCATACACTGGTCTGTAAAACTAGCTTCAACAAGCTTTAAAGGATTAAAATAATACAGATCATGTTTTCCAGCCACAATGGCATTAAATTAGAAATACACAACAAAGAAATCTGGGGAATTCACAAATATGGGGGAAATTAAACATCACACTTCTACATAACTAGTGGGTCAAAAAGAAGGAATCAGGAAAGAAAATAGAAAACTTACTCAGATGAGTGAAGATAAAAATGCAACCTACCAAAACATAAGGGATGCAGCTGAAGCAGCGCTTGGAGGGAAATTTATAGCTCTAATGTTTTTACTTAAAAAGATCTTAATAACCTAGCGTTTCACCTTATGAAACTAGAAAAAGAAGAGCAAATTAAACCCAAAGGAAGCAGACAGAAGGAAATAATAGAGATTAGTACAGAAATAAGTGAGTTAGAGAATAGACAACCAATAGAAATCACAGAAACCAAAAGTTGGTTCTTTGTTGTTGTTTTTAAATTTTTTTATTTGAGAATATTTGACACACAGTGCTACATTAGCTTCAGATAAAAAGTTGGTTCTTCGAAATAACAACAAAATTGATAAAACTTTAGCTAGAGTGACCAAGGAAAAAAGAGAGAAGTCTCCCCACCCTTCTCTCCCCCTCTCCCTCCCCTGTCCCCTTACCTCTTCTCTCTCCCTCCCTCTCCCCACCCCCTCTCCTTCCTCCTCCCCTCCCTTCCTCGCCCTTCTCCCCCTCCTCCTCCCCCTTCTCACTCCCTCCCCCTCCCTCCCCCTTCTCTCTCTCTCTCTCTCTCTCTCTCTCTCTCAGGTTAATGAGAATGACAGGGAACTAAGAGGAGAGAAACCATGGTTTGAAAGTATGATGGCTGGGACAGTAAGAAGTTAAAATAGGTATTCATTTTGTTCTCCCTAACTGAGGCAAGATATCCCTGGTTAGAGTTTCAAGGGCACCTAGATTCAGAAGAACATGATCCTGATTAGTAGTAGTAGAATCAGAAATAAAAGAGAGGACATTACTACCAACCTTATATAAGTAAAAGCGTTATAAAGGAATAATATGAACAATTGTTTCCAATAAATTTACAACTTAGATGAAATGGACAAATTTCATCTAACTACTGAAAGACAAACTACTAGAAACTGACTCAAGAAAAACAGGAAATCTGAGCAAACATATAACAAGTAAAGAATTAGTAACCAAAAATCTACCCACAAAGAAACGCCCAGGCCCAGATGTCGTCCCTGGTGAATTCTACCCAACAAAAGAAAAAATTCTTCACAGATTCTTCCAAAGGATAGAAAAGAAGGGAGTATTTCCCAACTAATTCTATGAGGCCAATATTACCCCAATATCAAGACCAGTCAAAGACATCACAAGTAAGAAAACTACTGACCAATATCTCTTCTGAACATAGATGAAAAAGTCCTCAAAAATACACTACCAAATAGAATCCAACAGTCTATAAAAATAATTACACACCATGACTAAGTGGGATTTATATGAAGAATGCATGGTTTTTCTAATACCTGAAAATCAATTAATGTAATACATCACATTAACAGAATCAAAACTAAAAATCACATGGTCATCTCAGTGGATGAAGAAAAGCACTGGATAAAATCAAACACCCTTTCATGATAAAAGTACTCAACAAACCAGGAATATAAGGGATCTTCCCCAACCTGATAAAAGATATCTAAAACACACATGCGCACACGTGCACGCACACACACACACACACACGCACACACAACTAACCAACTAGCATCATACTTAATGACAAAAAAAAAAAAATGGACGCTTTTCCCCTAAGGTCAAGAATAAGACAAGAATGTCTATTCTTGCCACTTCTATTTAATATTGTGCTGGAGGTTCTAGCCAGGGTAGTTAGACAAGAAAGAGAAATAAAAGGTGTCCAGATTGAAAAGACAGAAGTAAAACTATCTAACTGCAGGTGACATTATCTTGTATATAGAAAATCACAAGAAATCCACTGACAAACTATTAGAGCTAAGAAATTATTTCGGTAAGGTTACAGAATGAGAGATCAATATAGAAAAATCAATTTTATATCTATATACTAGCTGTGAACATTCCACAAATGAAATTAAGAGAACAGTTCACATTTACGATGTCATCAAAAAGAATAAAATATTTAGGAACACATTTAGCAAAAGAAGTGCAAGACTTGTACACTGAAAACTATAAAACATTGCTGGAAGAAATTAAAGACCTAAACTAATGAAAAGATACCCCATATTCATGGGTCATTGTCTTATGATCTCTAAATTGATCTACGTATTCAATGGATTCAGTATCAAAATCCCAGCTACCTCTTTTTGCAGATATTGACAGACTGATCCTTAAATTCATATGGAATTACAAGGGGCTGTGACAAACCAAAACAATGTTAAAAAAGAGGAACGAGGTTAGAGTACTCATACTTCCCAATTTCAAAACTTACTACACATCTACAGTAATGAAGTATGGTGCTGGTAGAAATACAGACCTATAGACCAATGCAGTAGAATCGAGAGTCCAGAAGTAAACACAGTGGGTTGATTTTTGAAAAGATGCCAAGGCCAATCAATGGGGAAGGAATAACTTTTCAACAAATTATGCTGGGACAACTAAATATCCACATGTGAAAGAACACAGTTGAACCTTTACTGCACACCATACACAAATATTAATTCAAAATGCATCAGGGACCTAAATCTAAGAGCTAAAATGATAAAAATCTTAGAAAAAATAGAAGCAAATCTTAACAGCCTTGAGGTAGGCAATGGTTTTTAGATACACACCAAAAGCACAAGTGAAAAAAGAAAAAAATAAATAAATTGGGCTACATCAAAACTGAAAACTTGTGCTACAAATAATACCTTTAAGAAAGTGAAAATATAATCAAGAGAATGGGAGCAAATACTTACAAATCATATATCTGATAAGGGACTTATATGCAGATCGCATAAAGAATTCCTACCACTCGATAGTAAAGACAAACAACCCAATTGAAACCTGGGCAGAGGTTTTGAATAGACATTTCTCCATATACAAATGGCCAGTATGCACATGAAAAGATGATAACATCATTAGTCATTAGAGAAATACAAATCAAAACCACACTGAGATACCACTTTCCACCCACTCAGGTGGCTATAATAAAACAGACAACCACAAGTGTTGACAAGGATGTGGATAAATTAGAACCCTCAAACATTGCTAGCAGGAATGTAAATTGTTGTAGGCACTTTGGGAAGCAGTTTGGCAGTTCCTCAAAATGTTAAAGATGGGCTTTCTGGGGCACCTGGATGGCTCAGTCGGTTAAGTGTCTGCCTTCAGTTCAGGTCATGATCTTGGGGTCCTGGGATCAAGCCCCACATCGGGCTCCCTGCTCAGAGGAGAGCCTGCTTCTCCCTCTCCCTCTGCCCCGCCCCCCTCCCTGCTTGTGCTCTCTACTCTCTCTCGTGCTCTCTCTCAAATAAATAAATAAAATCTTTAAAAAAAAAAGAACATAGGTCTACATAAAAACCCACACATGAATCTTCATAGCAACATAATTTATAATAGCCAATAAATAGAACCCACCCACCAAAATGTTCACCAATGGATGGGTAAATAAGATGGGATATAGCCGTACAATGAAAAATTATTCATCAGTAAAACAATGAAGTACTGAAACAACATGGATGAACAGTAAAAACATTATGCTTAGTGAAAGAAGCCAGTCACAAAAGACCACATGTTGTAGGATTCCACTTACATGAAATGTCCAGAATAGTAAATCTATAGAGACAGAAGGTAGATTAGTGGGCGCCTACCTCTTGAGGAGCAGGAACTGGGGGGAGGGGGAATGGGGAGGTGCCAGCTAAGAGGGATGGAGTTTCTTTTGGGGTTGATGATGAAAATGTTCTAAAATTTATTGTGATGGTTGCACAACCCTGTGAATACACTAAAAACTGAATTGTACACATTGAATTTTAAAAGGTGAATTGTGTGGTACATGACTTATATCCCAATAAAGCTGTTTTTTAAAAAATGAACGAATTATATATGTATCAATGTAGATAAAACTTTAAAAAGGTAGAGAAAAAAATAAGTTGCAAAAGGAAACAAGGAAGCATACAATATGATGTCTTTTATGTGAAACTGTAAAACAAAAAGCAATAGTATATATTGTTTGGGGGAAGATAAATTCTTAGTAAGATATAAAAACTTGGATGGAAAGGATATACTCCAACTGAAAAATTTCCCCTCTCTATAAATAATTTTTTTTTTAATTTTATGGCTTATTTGTCCATTGTTTATGTGTAGTATATTAAAAAATATATATGTTCATATCCTTTCCTTTCTTAAATAAGAAGTGAAATACCATATGTACTTTACTTTTTTTTTTAACTCGACAATATATTCTAGAGCTCACTCTAAAGGAGTTTCTGGAGCTATTCCAGTGAGGCTCCTTTATTAACCTTGTTGAGGCTTCTGTCCGAAAGGAGGAGGGCCAGAGATGGATGACTATATGGAGACACTGAAGGATGAGGAGGATGCCTTGTGGGAGAATGTGGAGTGCAATCGGCACATGCTGAGTCGCTACATCAACCCAGCCAAGCTCACCCCATACCTGCGCCAGTGTAAGGTCATCGATGAGCAGGATGAAGACGAAGTGCTCAATGCACCCATGTTGCCTTCCAAGATCAACCGGGCAGGTAACGTGAGGAGCCACCCAAGAGGAAAGGGTGGGCGGCCTCTTGTGGCAGCTTCCAGAAATACCCTGTAGTTGGCTGTACCAAAATGACGTTTCTCCGGGTCAGGAATTTTTAAACTGGGGTCCACGGACTTCTGCCCACCCCTCCTCCGCCACCAAGCTCTCTACGTATAGAACTGAGAGGGTCCATGAACTTACATCTTTATTTTACTAGCTTTAACCGAGATTCAGCGGGGGGGAATGGGGGGAAATTATGGGGGGGGGAATGGGGGGAAATTACATCTTTATTTTACTAGCTTTAACCAAGATTCAGCGTTTCCATCCATTGTGAATGTAGGTAGGCGATGAATCACAGTGGGGATTAGCAATACCCGTGACTTTGTCAACAATAAAATTACAGATAACTTCATACCACATTACAGCTGTTACAGATCTTCCAAAATAGCATTTACACTCATCTCACCCTCAAAATTATAGTAGTTACTAGACCTGCCAAGAGATCGTGTTATTAATGCATTAGTGAAGAAGCACTTTTATTACTGAATCTCAAATTTAATATTTGATAACCGTATCTTATTAGAACCGATTCCCTTCATAATCCAATTCCTTTTTATCTGTTTTAAAAATATTATTCTGAGAAGGGGTCCACAGGCTTTCCCAGACTGTCTAGGGATCCACGACACTTTATCACATTCTTCAAAGGCAGCAAGTGTGGCTTGTAAAACTTGGCTCTACATACGTATGCGTGTACATACACCTCTCTGTGTTTGCGCATGTGTGTACACGCACAAGGTCACAATGTAAAATATCGTTCTCCCTGTGGCTCGCCGTTGAAAAGGTTTGAAAATCACTTCCCCACGGTACAACTGGCGATAAGTAGCTCATCTGCTGTGACTCTCTTTCGCACACGTAACAGACATCACTAATCACAGCTCGGGTTCCTAATGAGCTCGGATGTAACTTTACAATCCTCAACACAATGCTCCAGGCAGCTTCGCCAAACAATCCATTAACACAAGACAAAACGTATTTGTTATGTCTATCCTGGGACCTCAAGGGAAGAAATATCTGAAAATAAAATGTTTGAGAATGGGCCAAGAAATGTAAATATTAAGTGGACCCAGAAACCAAAAATGCCAGGCAAGTTACATTTAGGTTAAAGATGTTTCCGGACTATGAGATACCCAAAGATCATGGAGCTGTGCCTGCTTCCCGTGACTTTTCCTAGCTCTCCACCCGAAGATTTGTCTTCCTGCCCCGAGTCTCAGAGAGCCATGCATTATTCTGTAATTGCTTTGTACTTCCAGCCTCCTTCAATCACAGAAGAGCTGGTGCCTGTATGGTTAATTTCTGTGCTGGTCAACTGGGAGGCTCTTTGAAACCGTTGGTTCCCATAACTGCAATTCCATTTATCCTGGTTCTACCAATTTCTTAGAGAAAGGAAAACTAGCAGCCACTGAATCCCTGTTGAGGGCCTGGCACTTTGATTTATAGTATCTGGACTCCCAGATACCACTCTCGAGTGACAGAATGTGGTGAGACTGTCTTCTTAAAGAGTTTATTGAGGGATAGGAGTCCAGGGTAAGGCTGCACATGGAGACTTACGTCCGATCAGAAGTGCACTCTTCTTCTCACCGGGTGATTTCCGTTCCGCTAGGCCGACTGTTGGATATTCTACATACCAAGGGCCAAAGGGGCTACGTGGTCTTCTTGGAGAGCCTGGAATTTTACTACCCGGAACTGTACAAACTGGTGACTGGAAAGGAGCCTACCCGGAGATTCTCTACCATTGTGGGTAAGTGGCTTTGCCATCAGGAGCCTTTGAACTCTGGCCGGAGTGTGTGTGTGTGTGTGTGTGTGTGCATGTGTGAGTCCGTTGGGGGGACAGTTCCAAAGCTATGAATCCATGACGTTAGGACAGTGTTCCTGTGGCATCTGTGGGCTGTCAACCACTCACTTCTGCCTGCCGATCAAAGAAAGGTAGGTGACAAAGACAGACCAAAGCCAGAGCCAAGAGAAGTGGGTGTTCGTGGAACATCTTCAGTGAATGTTGGGGGGGCGGGGCAGAAATTCCTACTGCCCTCTGGATCCTGTCCTTGCCTTGCCTATTGTCTTGCCACCATCCCTGAACCAGAGCCCTCGGTAACCTCATCCCAACTTTCCTCCCTAAATATTCCTGAATCACCCTTCTCTCCATCTCCACCACTACCCCAGTCCAGACTCGTCCAACCCCATCCACTCTACAGCCATTCCTGCTCTGCTCCATGCTTTCTCCACCCCTCATGTTGCCCTCCTTGCTGAAAACCTTTGGTGGTTTTCCACTGCATCCAACTAAACACCCATTTCTTTAATGGAGCCCACAAGAACCCTACATGGTCCAGCCCCTGCTCACGCTCCCAGCCTTCCCCTTCCGCCTCTCTGCCTCTCCAGACTCCAGCCACTTTGGTCTTCCTTCAGTTTCTGAAATGTGGCAAGTTCCCCCTTCCTCCCTGTAGGGCTTTGGCAGTGTTTTTCCACCTTCCTAGGATGTGCTTTCCCTCCTCAATGTTTCAGCTCAACCATCAGGAGCCTTCCAACCCGGCTGCCTGCCAGGCTGGATCTGGCCCCCTGCTGCCCACCTTCACAGCCCCTGCGCCTTTACTTCGCGAAATCCTCTCCCTCTGTAGTTCTATTTGTGCATGATCATCTGCTGTTTTACCGGCTGTCTCCCTTCGGAGACTGTAAGCTCTACCAGGACCAAGGCTGTCTTGCCCACTCTGAGTGCCCAGGGCCTGAAGAGCTCGGTGCAATGTTGGTGTGTAAGTGAGTGAGTGAGTGAGTGAGTGAAGGCCTGCCCCCACTCCACACCTGGGGCCCCCTTCGCTCTCCCCTCCTCGGGCCTGATGAGTGCCCCTCTCCACAGTGGAGGAGGGCCACGAGGGCCTCACGCACTTCCTCATGAACGAGGTCATCAAGCTGCAGCAGCAGATGAAGGCCAAGGACCTACAGCGGTGCGAGCTCCTGGCCAAGTCGCGACAGCTGGAGGACGAGAAGAAGCAGCTGACACTGACTCGAGTGGAGCTGCTGACCTTCCAGGAGCGGTACTACAAGATGAAGGAGGAGCGCGACAGCTACAACGACGAGCTGGTCAAGGTGAAGGACGACAACTACAACTTGGCCATGCGCTACGCCCAGCTCAGTGAAGAAAAGAACATGGCGGTCATGAGGAGCCGAGACCTCCAGCTCGAGGTGAGCAGCACGCGCCGCGGGGGACTGCTGGGGCTCGGGACCACTGCGGGGGCAGGTGCACACAGGCCCGCGTGGGCCGCCGGAGCTTCTCACTCAGCTGCGGGGGAGGGGGAGGGGGCAGGGACACTGTGTTCTTGGGGGCACCTAGATCCACCATGCACATGAACACACCAACCCAGTGAGGCTTAGCAGGACAGCCGAGGGCCCAGGGCCACCATGCGCACGTGCAGACGTGCGCACACGGCCCAGTGGTGGGCTTCCTGCCACCTGCTCGGCCCTCCCCCCATCCTAACCCACCCGACCCCACCTCCACCCCAGCCACCACCCCAGCCACCATGTGCATGCGCACACTGACCCAGTGGGGCTTCCGCCACCCTCTCGGGACCCAGGGCCACCATGCAGGTGTGCAGACGTGCGCACACGGACCCAGTGCGGCTTCCCGCCCCCTGCTCAGCCCGCCTCCCCCACCCGACTCCATCCCACCTCACCTCCGCCCCAGCCACCGCGTGCATGTGCAGACATGCGCACACAGCCCAGTGGTGGGCTTCCGCCCCTGGTTCGGGCCTCAGATCCACTGTGCGCATGTGCAGATGTGCGCACACGGACCCAGTGCAGCTTCCCGCCCCCTGCTCAGCCCGCCTCCCCCCCGCCCGACTCCATCCCACCGCACCCCACCTCACCTCCGCCCCAACCACCAGGTGCGTGTGCAGACATGCGCACATAGCCCCTCGGCAAAGCCCGGTGAGGGGGAGTATGGAGAACCAGACCTTGAGTGACCCTCAGGAAATTCAGCGAGGAGACAGACCCAGCACTTGTTCCATGGAGACTGAGGTTTTTGAGGCCGGGACCCTGCCCTTCCCAACTGTATCCACAAAGCTCAGCATGGCACTGTAGGACAGTTAATATACTTATCAATGGACAATCTGCCAGCCAAGTGATTAATGTCATTGATGAGTTTACCTCCAAAATGGAGAAGGGGAAGGGAATTTGCTTAACTCACTCATCCTTTTTATTTATTGAGGGCCGCCGTGCACCACGTTCTTTTCCAGGGATGCATAACTCAAGACCAAGGCTCTGCTATCACGGAGCTCACATTCTAATCAGCAAATACATAAACACCTGGTAATAGTAAGTGCTATTAAGAAGAGGGAAGGAAAGAGTATGAGGATAGTGAGGGAGGGAAGCGACTTTAAATAGGATGGTCAGGAAGGGTCTCTGAGAAGGGGACACAGGGAGGACAGGGAGGGAGCCAGCCATGCAAGGCTCAGGGGAAGAGCAAAGAGCAAATGAAGGGCCCCAAGTAGGGGGCATGCTTGGTGTTTCTGACCATCAAGAGAGCCAGTGGAGATGGCGCCAACTGAGCATGTGGCACAGAGAGATGGCCAAGGTCCAGATCGTAAGGGCAGGGTAAGAACTCTGGAAATTATTCCAGTTGTGATGGGAAGCCACTGAAGGATTGAGAGCTGGAGAGTGACAACTGATTGATATCTAGAAGGATTACTCTGGCTGCTGGGTGGAAAATAGACTTGGAATATTTATTAAGCACCTGCCATGTGTGAGGCACAGTGCTGAGCATGGTGGGGGACACGGGGATAAATAACCTGATTTCTGCTCAGGTCACTTACAATTTAGGTGAAGCAGACAGATCAGTAAACAACCCACTAGAATTCAGGTGAATTGAGTCAGTGGCATGGCGGGCAGTAGAGGGTTTCTGTCAAGAGCATGGGCTTTTAAAGCCTACACATTTGAGTTCGAATCTGACTCGGGCTTCTGGCTTTACTGCTTACTTGGCTTTTGGCCTGTTTCCTCATCTGTAAATGGCAATCGTGGAACATAATCCCTGCACCCAGGACTGCTGAGCCAAGTATCCTTGGCCAAGTGGCTGACCCGTGTCCTTGGCCGTGTCTTTGGCTAAGTGGCTGACCCAGTAAGCAGCCCAAGTGCCGGCACCCTGTGCCCACTTGGATGGGACAGGGGATCTGGACCCAGCACCGGGCCCCTGGGCTGACCTTCCAAGATGCCGAGGAGGATTTTTTTTTTTTTTTTTGGCATGACCAGGAGGAGAGGTTTCTATGCTGCCGTAGCTAGGATTTGGAGACGTTAGTCTGTGACAGCGACTTAGAAATTTCTCTCCTAGGACTTTGTCCTACATTATATTTCCCTGGTGATACAGGAATAGTGGGAAGCTTGTCTAGAACTTGAAAGAACATCTGGCCAGCTGAGTCCCTAGGTCATTTCTGAGCCCCAGGCTGCTTCCCTGTATGCCTCTTCCTTCCTCCCCTTCCACGGGGGCTCAGTGTTTTCCTTGCTAAAGTCACCACCCTCTGCCTGCCAGGTACCTTGCAGTATTCTCCCCGTAGATTTGTAAAAGGGCGTTCGCCCATTTGGTGCCTCCCTTTCCTGCAGCTGTTGAAGACACGCTTGATGTGGGTGTTCTGTAAGGTCGATCAGTTTGGGGAAGCAGACAGGCTTAGTCACGAAGGTCTAAGGAGTCTTCTCGTGGGCCCCCTTCCTGATACTCACCTCTCCAGGGCAGAGCTCCGCAGATGTCCATTTGTCTTGTCACATTTCCAGATGTAGTAACCGCCTCCTCCAGAAAGCCACTCTTCCAGCCCTGAGCGTGGGTCCTTTAGGCCAGAGATGCTGTGAACCCAGAGGGCCTCACACTGTCCTTTTCACAGTAGTGCCGTTTGTCTGAAAAGAATTTTGTGGGAAACCCACAAGGACAAACGTGTGCTGGTTGCCCTGGGGTAAAGTCGGGTGCGGGGCCCAGAACCCAGAGCCCATGGCCGCCTCACTCCTTGTGATAACATGGGTTCGTGAGGGGAGTCCCCCAAGTTCTCTAAGGGACAGATAGCCCCTTTCAGAATTTTCCTAAATTAACAAATCAGGAGCTCTTCATCAACAAGATGGTGCTTTGTTTTACGGCAAAAGGTTTCTTTGAGCCCTTCTCCGTCGCTCACTGGAAGAAGGGGGGGTGGGCATCACGCAGGTTACGTGGCAAGTCCGCTGGGGATCTGGGGGAGCATTGCCTCTCCCGAGTGTTGCCTGCCAAATGCACCCTTGGGCGTTTCAGATTGACCAACTAAAGCATCGGTTGAATAAGATGGAGGAGGAGTGCAAGCTGGAGAGGAACCAGTCTCTGAAACTCAAGAATGACATTGAGAATCGTCCCAAGAGGGAGCAAGTTCTGGAGCTGGAGCGGGAGAATGAGATGCTAAAGACCAAAATCCAGGAGCTGCAGTCCATCATCCAGGTGCGGGCTGGGGCAGGGCAGTGGATGGAAGGGGCAGACCCTGGCCTGGGCGTGCGTCCCCCTTGCTGACCGCGCGGCCCCAGGTAATCCACGTCATCCCTGGGTGTCCTTCGTGTCCACACTCGGTAAGGTGGGGCCGCCACACTACCCACTCGTCAGAGACACGACATTATGTGAGATGACACTTGTGATCTCACGGAGTCCCTGCCCCAGGCTCTGTGAGACAGGGACGGCTGGGAAACTGATTTCCCCTTAAAGATCCCAAGAAATGCACCTCTCAGCTCCGCGTCATTTGTTAAAACGTCGAGTGCCTCCCCACATTTCTCATCACAGACTCATTTTCGGGTATGAAGGAGGAAGTAGCTGAGAAGTAACATCCCCCAAAGGGAAAGAAAGAAGGCTTCCCCTCCCCTTCCTCCAGAATTATAGAACTATCCCCCCAGGATTGGCTGCCTGGTGTTTAAGGCACGGATTTGGAGCAGAGAATGAATCCCGGTTAATCGAAGCAGATTAATTGATATTTCCGGGGATGCATCTGGACGGCAGAGCAGTCCTCTCTTTGTTGGCACCTATGAAGTGTTTGGAGGAGCAGGAACTGCTTTTCTCAGCTCTGATAAGAGCTAGAGCAGAACAATAGGCATTGGGATGTTCCTGAGCAGAAGCGGGTTTTATGCTTCTTTCCAGGTGATAAAATTCTTAATAAGCTGCTTAAGGACCCCAGGAGGCAGCGACTCTTTCTCTGCTTCCCTAGCACAAAACCTGCTCTCCCAGCATCTGTCGCTGGCTCTGTTATCCCCCCCCCAACCCCCCCGGCCTCCCGGGTCCCCCTGGCTCCCCGCCCTGCCCCCAGCATGGTCAAACCTTCCTGCCCACCCGCCCAGGCCGGGAAGCGCAGCCTGCCGGACTCGGACAAGGCCATCTTGGACATCCTGGAGCATGACCGCAAGGAGGCTCTGGAGGACCGGCAGGAGCTCGTCAACAAGATCTACAACCTGCAGGAGGAGGTCCGCCAGGCAGAGGAGCTACGGGACAAGGTGGGAGCCCCTGGGTGGAGGGGCAGCATCCTGCGCCCCCCACCCCTGGCCAGTACACCAACGTGCATTTGCAAGAGCTCCGCGACCCCCACTGTCTTCTGGGGACTAGGTTTCAGTGCCAGCATGAGCCCCTCGCTGTGATTTGTGAATTACTCTACCACCCCAGCACCTGCCTTCCCCCTCCTGACCACAGCCCATGTGAGGGCACACAGTGCCCTGTCCCCCCTCCACATTCCCTTGCACACAGTAGGTATGAAGCAAATCTCAGCTAACCGACTGCCCTACAGCTGTGGCCCTGCTCTCCAGAGAGCTGACCCTCAGGGAGGGGCAGGCCGGCAGGGAGGCTCGGCTGGGAAACCTCTGGCCCCGGGCGCTGATCTCTCCCCGTTGCCCACAGTACCTGGAGGAGAAGGAGGACCTGGAGCTCAAGTGCTCAACGCTGGGCAAGGACTGTGAGATGTACAAGCACCGCATGAATACGGTCATGCTGCAGCTGGAGGAGGTGGAGCGCGAGCGGGACCAGGTACGGGCAGGCACCCGGATACCGTGGGGGCCTGAGCCGGGCTCCAGCAGCTCCTACGACAGCGCGTGGCCCCCAGAGTCAGACAGCCACGTTCAGGCTCGGTCACTCATCAGGTGTGCGGCTGCAGGCCAGCTCCGCCCCGTGGACGCCTCCATGTGCTCGTCTGTAACATGGGAGTAATAAGACGGCACCACTGGCTAGAGGCGGGGTGCGGGCTCCGTGAGATACTGCCCCGGGGCTCTCAGCACAGAGCCCGGCTCCGGCCAGGGCAGGACACATGGCAGCTGTGATGCGGACTGTTGGGGAAGGGAGCGATTTAAACGCCCAAGAGTTGGGGTTAAGAAAAGAGCCCCGGGGTTGGGAAGCAGGTGTCCAGACAGAGAGCACGCCCCGGGTCTGATTTGATTGGGTCGGGGTGAAGAACCAAAGTGGCCTTGTCCTCCCCGCGCCCCCCGCCCCTCACCCCCGGCAGGCCTTCCATTCCCGGGATGAAGCGCAGACCCAGTACTCACAGTGCTTAATCGAAAAGGACAAGTACAGGAAGCAGATCCGAGAGCTGGAGGAGAAGAACGATGAGATGAGGATTGAGATGGTCCGGCGGGAAGCCTGCATCGTCAACCTGGAGAGCAAGCTCCGGCGTCTCTCCAAGGACAGCAACAGCCTGGACCAGGTGGGGCTGGGTGGGGCTGGGTCGGGCCGGGCTGGACGTGGCCCCATGCGCCTGCAGCCAGGTGCCTCCCCACACCGCGGCCCCACCCAGAATAACCCATGTCCTTGACCCTCCTGCATGGCACACCACTCAGTACAGACTGAATTTTGAGCTTGGAAAATGCAGGGTAAAACCCTGTCATGGCCACTTGCTAGACAAGTGACTTCACCGGGTAGCCCCAGCTCCTTCTCAGTTGACCACAGCTGCCCGCTCGCCTCCCGTTGCCACCGCCATGTGGACGGTCACTGGGCGTCAGACGCCCTGTGCCCACTGAAGGCCCTCGTGCCTGTGAAGACACTGTCCTTTACGGACGGTACGGCGCTCGGAGTTCATGTCACTGCAGGGCCCCGGGGGCTCAGGGATGAGGGGACGCTGCCATCAAACAGACCATTACGGTCCTCATGTACCAAGGACGGAGCCCGGGCCCTCGCAGCTGGGGGCACCCCTGGTCAGTGGCCTGGGGAACCTGGGGCGAGACCCTCAGAGGACCCACATCTAGCGCCTGGGGTCAATCCAGGAGCGTGATGTTTCGATACAATGTTGTGAATCACAGGCGGTTCTGGGCGGTTCTGCCGTCCGTACGGTGGGAGGCGGGGACGGGCAGGTGACCGGATGGGCAGGTGATGCGCTGGGAGGCGTGACAGGAGGTAACAGAGTCGGCTTGTGGGCTGAGGCCCTTCATTGTTCTTCTGGGACCTTGACACGTTCTGTGCAGGGAAGTAAGGCAGAGAGCTTTGGGTTGGGGGGCAGCGGCAGGAAGGTTGTGTGGTTTTGGGGGCAACTGGAAGTTACTGACTGCCCCTGCAGCTGGGCCCTAGGCAGTGGCTAGAAAGCACCAGGACGAGGCCCGAGCTGCTCTGTTAGGTTCTGTGTTTGCAGCTCAGGCCCAGGGCTGCCCCTCGGGGTGTGAAGGCAGCCCGTCAGACCCCAGGGGCCATCGCTGTACTGCTGCGAACACCACAAAGCAAGGGGAAGACGGGGACAGGAGGCTGGTGACGAGAAGCGAGTGGGACCAGAACGACGGGCCTGGGCATCCCGGGGGGGGATGCAGGGGTCAGGGAGATGCGTGGGCCATCCTGAGTTCAAAGCTGGGGCCCCAGGGAAGGCCGGCCGCCGACGGGGGCCGCTCGTCCCCCCGCATCACTGGCGCTGGCCTCTCTCCGCCCCAGAGTCTGCCCAGGAACCTGCCGGTGGCCATCTCTCAGAACTTCGGGGACGCCAGCCCCAGGACCAACGGGCAGGAAGCTGACGACTCGTCCACGTCGGAGGAGTCCCCGGAAGACAGCAGATACTTCCTGCCCTACCACCCCCCCAAGCGCAGGATGAATCTGAAGGGCATCCAGGTACTGGTGTGGACAGGCGGCCACGGGGCCGCTGGTGGATGGGACTCGGCCTTGCCGGCCCTGTCGATGGGAATCCTGCCAGCCCCAGCTTTCTTCCCGTTTGCTTTCACACATCCTCCCCCCGCATGCCCAAGTTAGAGAATGAAGTAAGCGTTATTTCGGAGTTCGTTCATTTATTCAGCAAATAGGTATTGAGTATCTATCCCGTGTTTATTGACGTTGATGGCTTGGGAGAGGCCCGCTGGGGGCTGGAGTTGCAGCAGCAAACCTGTCCGCTCCGCTCAGTGTCCAGGGCCGTCCGTGGCTCCCTCTTCAGGAGGAATGAGCGCGGGAGATCATCTCACGTGAGGGGGGCCGGGCAGCGCAGGGCGGGCCCCCCGGGGAGCACCAGCACCTCGTCCTTTCCGGAAAATTCCCCTGTTCTGCTGGGCCGCACGCCCGCACGTGCACCTTCCCTGGCCGCCACTGTCGGCTCTGGTACCAGCTGAGCCACGTGGTGCCACCTCCCAGGATGGGGGGCACGGTGCCAGCTGATGCCACGCAGCCTGGGGTGTGGGCGTCACACGCCGTCGGGGCTCCCAGGGCCACACGGGCTTCCTCCGTTTATTCCCTCCCTCCGCTGCCACGTGTCTCGGGTCTTGTCTGACATCAGACCGTTGTTTTCCCCTCCGTCTTGCAGCTGCAGAGAGCCAAATCCCCCATCAGCCTGAAGCGAACCTCAGATTTCCAAGGTTGGTGCACACCCAGACCCCGCTCCTGTCTGTCTGTCCGTCTTCCTCTCCCGGGCCTTTTTTCCCATTGTGGCAATCAATCCCATGCGTTGAACCTGGGACAGGCCTGGGGGCCCCGGGTGGAGGGGCGTCTGATAGTAGTTAACACTCGTTGTCAGGGGACAGGGTAGGAGCTACAACGTAGAAACGTCCCATCTGGGGCACACACACGCAGCTCACACACACACGCAGCTCACACACACACTGAGGTCGGCCCGGGGCCCCAGATACCGCAGCCGGACTTGGCGCTTCTGCTCACGCCTTGTCAGCAGGAGGCGGGCTCGACCGTCCTTCCAGGCTTTTGGCCAGACGGTCTGGGTCCAGCTGTGAGCCCCTGGTTCTCCAAGACACGGCATCTTCAGGACCTGTCGCTCGTCTTCACTGTGACTCTCAGGGGACAGTTGGCTACTGAGGGTGTGCCCTAGGAAATCAAGCACCTACTGTGTGCCAGGTGCCCCTAGGCCCACACGGACGCTCCGGAGCCCTGTGTCAGAGTGAGGACAGAGAGAGTGGCTCTGGACACCCAAGAAAGAGCGGATGGAGGAGGGCTGGAGAAAGATCCGTCAAGAAGGGACACAGTCTCTGGAAGGCCGCTCAGGACAGAACGGGGAGCAGGGGCAGGGTGGAGGACCCTGGCGTGCTGCCCTTCTAGAGCTCAGAACAGGGAATGCCGGGAGCGAGGCTATAGGTCACAGGGCAGGAGCCCTGTGCTGAGGATGTGCACCCCTCCCTGGTCCACAGGGGGGCAGGGGAAGGAGTCCAGAGCAGGACCTGGAGGAGCCCAGTGGTGGGGATCCATCCACCCCTCTCATTGCCAGATCAAGTATCTCTAGAACCTTCTTTATCAGAAGGCAGGTGTAAAGGGCCTGAGGCCTGTGGGAGAAGTGTTTGCCCCAAGAAGAGGGACAGGGGGAGCAGGATGACAGAGCTTCTGGACGCTCCACAAGCCTTTGCCACTGGCTAGCGTGATGTGTGCAGGTGTCTGTTCATACACAAGATACGGGGGGGACAGGTGGGACAGCCGCTCTCCTGCGCAGCAAGGCAAGGGCTGAGGGGCTTACTGAGGAGGCGACAGACTCTGCCCCAACCGGCCCCTGTCTCCAGTCGGCCTGTCCAGTGGAGACGGTGGGATCCGTCTTCAGGATGGGGTCCCTGGGCAGGGACATCTCCACTCCGCAAGACGCACGCTCCCATCCCTGCTATTCCACAGAGCGCCAGGTGGGGTGCCCGCCTGAGTCCTTGGAGACACAGGACATCGTCCCGCCTCTACTGAGGTTGCCCTGGGCCTGGCCGCAGCAGGATGCGCTGGTGTGCAAGACCAGACTCCCTCCCGCAAGCCTAGAGCTGGGGGAGCGAGAGGAGGGAGGAGGCCGCCCCCCACCCTCCCTAGGAGGACAGGCCACCCAGGCAGGACAGCCTCCGGGCGCGCCGCGGTGCCCGCGGGGGCTCTCAGTCCCCTCTTCCCTGCCTTTCCCCTTTGCCTCCTATCTCCGCGAGAACAGGGAGAGGCCATGAAGAAGAAGGCATGGACGCCAGCCCCAGCTCCTCCAGATCCCTGCCCATCACCAACTCCTTCTCCAAGATGGTAAGCGGGGTCCCCAGCACACCCCCTTCCGGCTCAGAACCCACCTGCAGCCCCCTGCCCCTGCAGGCCCGCCCCCTTGCTTTGCACTCCGCGCAGGCCTGTGAGCAGCATCACTCTGGGGGGCTTGCAGCCCAGACCCTCCTTATGTTTATTTAAAGATGTTTCCGCAGGCTCACGGCGTATTTACGCCTTCTCGCAGCCTCCTTTCCCAATTTAACACTCAGTGGGGGGAAGAGATGGGCCTCTAAGGAGCCATAGGGAACCGCACAGGCAGCGCTGAAAATTCT